ATAAAAAGTGTCATTATAGATATAATATATATATATATATATATATATAAATTTATTTTGATGTTCAAAAATCGCTACCGATTATGAAGCTCTATAATATTAATTACGGGTGATGAGACTCTGAACTCAACCAACTCAAGCCAATTTGATATAGGTAGGTTGCTATAAGAATCAAACTTGATTGTTATGAAAGGAGTAAATAATTCAGATAGTTGAGCAGATATGTAAGTTGTTGATAAAACTAGAGTTTATACAACTCAATCCCTTGATATAAATACATGTATTTTTTTATTATTTTTAGAAATTACACATTAAGCTTGTTATTCTACTCAATTGTTAGGACTCAAACTTGGAAATTGAATTCAAAAAACTAGTCATTATCTTATAGAACCTTATAGTTTAAGTACATATGCTATCATTGTTATGATCTTTTTTAAAAGTCAACATCTATTATAATTTATTAATATTTCGTACATTAATATGGGTTATTGATTATCTATAAATAGTCTTTTTTATAGCCTTACCCTTAATAGAAGCTCTAATTAATAAGACTTAAGCATAAAATGACAATTCAATTAAAAAAATTAGTCTATTAAGTTGAAAAGTCTCATAACTTAAATTAATACTAAATTAAACATTTTTTTTTCATTTAATGTGAGATTTATAATATTATCAACTCTTTGAGAGTTAATATTAGTAGCGACAATCACTCTATCAAAATTGAGTTGATGGTAATCATTTTCTTAACTATTGCAATCATCAAGTTGAACTCTTAACATAATTGTTGGGCAAGTATACATTTTATTTGCTAATATTTATAATTATGGATAATTTAGTCATCCTTGTGTATATGTACATGCAAGACTAAGGAAAAAAATAACCTTAAACTTAATATCCTTGAAGTTGATCCTAATTCACATATAAGATCTTGAATTTAGCATCCAATATCATATACATACTATAATTTCTCTTATTACATGCGACTTTTCCTGCAAATTTTTCATAAAAATTTGTAGGAAACGTTGTTCCTGCAAATTTTTCTGCAAAATTTTATTTGCAGGTAATACCTTCGTGGATAATATATTTTTGCGACTTTTAAAATTCGCAGGAAATTTTCCTGCAAAATTTCTTGGAAAAAAAATTCACAGAAAAGTTTCCTGCAAAAAAAATTGCAGGAGATTTTCCTGCAAAAAAAATTCGCAGGAAACTTTCCTGCGAATTTTTTCGCAAGAAATTCTGCAGGAATATTTTTTACGAAAAAAATTAAAAAAAAATTACTATAAATTCTATATTTTAAGAATTCATAATCTTTTATTTTCATGCCTCATACATAATCTTTTAAATTCTAAGATTGTAGATTATAAACCTAACACTCAACCATACAATTCAACTTGTAAGGTAAGTGTTACTCCAACTTATATACTCTTTAATTGTTTTATTTTCAATCGATGTGGGACTTGAAAATTTTTTAAAATATTAAACTTATGAATTTAAATATATATTTTTATTTTTCCTGCGAATTAAAATTTGCAGGAAAATCCGCAGGAAAAGTTACCTGCAAAATTTTTCTACCATTTAGTAAACATTACTTGCGAATTTATTTTTGCAAGAAAATCTGCAAGAAACAAAATAAAATTCTTACAATATTTTTTGCAAATTTTTACCATGGAATTTTTTTACATGATTATTAAAATTGTAACAAAATTTGTAAAAAATATCTGTAAATTATTTTTTGCAGGAAAATTCGCAAAAAATTTCTGCGAATATTTTTTTGCAGGAAAATTCGCACAACAATTTCTGCAAATATTTTTTTACAGAAAAATTCGCAAAAACTTTCTACGAATATTTTTTTACAAGAAAATTTGCAAAAAAATAACACTTTTCTAGTAGTGATATTAATACCTTGAATTAGGGACTATAATATGACAACGTGTGTCAAATTCACAAATCAAACCAAAGAATTGATCACATTTTAGGAATTATCTTTTCGTTTTGTTAATTCAAATATTTAAGTGACAATACAATTGTCACATTCGAAAACTAAAATAAAAATTTACTCAACATTAATATTTCAAACTCTAATTTTGTCTTTCGTATTAGATGTAGTAACATCCAATTATATGTTGAATGCATATTGCATAAAAAAAATTAGTACAAAAAATTTTGTACAAATAAAATTCGATAAATGATTTTTATGGACAAATTAAGGGAGGAATACCATTCATAGTGGGATAGGAGTGAAATTTGATTTCCCACAATAAAATAACTTCTTAAAGAATTTGCACTCTATCACATTTGACTTTTTTGTATCAAGATATTTTTCTAAGTAAATGATCAATCAATTATCTAAAATTTGAGTCTAATTTAATTTTATAAAATCAATTGGTAAGGTATGAGTTACCATTATGTATATACACTATTTTGATTGGATATAACTCTTCTAAAGGAAAGAGATTTTACTTTAAAAACTAAAGTACAATAATAATTGTTGATTAAAAAACTCTACTATGAATAATTTAATTAATTTTAAATTTTATTATATATGTATTTGATTTTATCATGATTATTAATTGATATTTTAATCAACAATTATAAGTACATTTTATCTTCTAAAGTACACTCCTTTACTTTAAAAAAGTTAAATCCGTTTGATTACATTTTCAATTAAATCTAATTTTCATTTTACTTTACCATTTAAATAAAATTAAATCTTTTAAATTCATTTTTAAAATATTATTTCTATTTTTTTTTTTACATCGAGTCGTTTAAAATTAATTTTAGCAAAATATAAAATGAAGAGACCTGGTACCGATTGATGTATTAATAATAATATGTTAGATCTATAGATGTCATTTTCAATTATGTTTTATTATTTAAAATAAGTACTTAAGTTAATTTAGAGGTGATTTTACAATGTGCTCATAACTATTGCATCATTATTACATTATTAATTATGATGTCCAATACTCAATGCCATTTTTCCCTTAAATTTCCACGTTTATATATAAATATATATATATATATATTAATTAATTATTCACACGAGAGAATATTACTTTAGCCAAATAAGATTATAGATAAAAAAAAAAACCTTAAAATATTTAATACAGCTACGTACCATCCACACATTCAATGGTATTTGACTGCTTGTTATCACTGTTACATTATTCTATTCTTATTAACACCAGTTTTTCATAACTTCAATATTTCATTTTTTATTAAAAAAAATCATGTTTAACTATGTTATTAAATGCCCATCTAAACAGCTTTACCACATAAAGATATAGATTATTATTCATCAAACAGGATCTGTTTATCTGAAATTTTAAAATAATTTATAACTACATTTAGTCTTACGTTCAACATACTTATAAAAATGACAAACCTTCTAAATTCGTTATTTTTCAACCGATTACAAATTAACTAAAATATATAAATTGTCTTTTCTAAAAAGCATTTTTTTTCATACAAGTTAAAATTTTCAAAAGGAAAATGCTTCAACTTCACAGTTCTCTAAATTAATCATTGACCATTGTAGACACTAAACCAAACTCCAACGCGTCATAAACCTCATTAATCATTCAATAGTCCATAAATTTCATACTACACGATAATATGTTAATCTTGAAACTTGAAAGAGACAATTCAATCATTTGCCTCATTACATTAGGATGCTTCATTATATACGAAAACTACTATATAACTTCTGATCAAATAATTGAATTCAATCAATCAACATGCTGATTGGGATTATCTGCGAACACAACTTTGCTCGTCCACGAAATTTACACGGAGATTAGATCCAGCATGGCGAGTTGCTAATCAAAAGTTACTTTTTGATTTTTTTTTTTTTTTTACTTTTCATTTTCATGGATAAATTTCTAACAAGTGTTACAAGTTCGAGCGTCATCAATAATTGTCTGGGTATCAGTGTAACCATACGTGCCAGCACTATGAATGGTATATTCAAGCAACGTGCCAATGGTGTATTTTCTGGTATTGGCAGAGTTGCCAGAACACCCGTATAAGAGAAGCATGTTTACAATCACAAGAGTCAGTGATCGAGAGCACTTCGAATTGTGAGTGGCGGATTTAGAACTGCGCCTCTGGATATAAGGTCGTGGTTTAAGAATAAAACAATGACAGTTATATCATCGTGAAAATGGCGACGAACCTTCTTGTCAATCTTATAAAGGTCTGAATATCGCATTTCACGTTTTCTGGCTGCTTCTTGTAGGGCAGCCTTCACCAGTCTCTTGGCACTACCCTGCGTTGACACAATTTACTATGGATTCAAGACAGGCACGAGAATGCAATGACAGTGAAAGGGAAAAAAAAAAACAGAACAGAACAAAAAATCAACAACCAGCTGATAAAATAAAATCACACCCTCAATTTCCTCTGTTCTTGAAAAATAAAATGCAAATTCCAAACTATGAAATAGTATTTCTAAAATTACAGCTTACATATGGTTGTCAAGTATTCCCCATCATACCCTGTGAGAAATTGACTTGTCACGCCTATGATACTGGTAATTACACATACTATTCCATTCGCTGTAATGTCACAATAGTAGTCGTTGCACTCATCAGATATTATGGACAACGCTAGATGAAATCATTGGGTTTAATAAAGTTCAAAACGAAAGCAATCTGTAGTCTTATTAAGGAAGGAAAGAAACCACGAACCAAGTGATGTCCAGTACACAACTAGTAAGTACTATTAAAAAAATAAAAGGTAGAAAAGAACCTTACCGCTCGTGGACTGCTGTGAACAATTTCCACTGCTTGATCATTACTAAGGTGCTCCCATAAACCATCTGATGCAAATATAAGGAAGGAATCATTTGGTTGGAGAGGATGAGAAATAATAGTTGGATTAGCAGACAAGAAAGGCATGTTCATTGGTTCAGGAAGTCTGAATTTTGCATTAATGGGTTCCCGGTTAAACTGCGCATGTTTCATATATACGTCACCTATAGATCTAGAAACCTGCAGCAAATATCATGGAATTGGTGATATATATAATATTGCCATTAATTCAAGAGTGGAAAGTAAAGCTGAAAATAAGATAACGGTTCCAGGAGTTACTTGGAAAACATGAGCCATTAACTTTATAAATTGAATAAAAATAAAGCAGCAGAAGATTGAATTCGAAAGCATATATACAGATTGTGATTACTGAAAATAAGCTATAATGCAAATGGTTTCTTTACACGGAATTCATACTTGAAAACTAAGTTAACCAACAAGCAAGCTTAATAGATATCAACAAAAGAAAAACAGCAAATTGAGTAAAAGCATAAACTTTTGAATTAAAAAAGTTTAGTTTTGTAAAGCACCAGTTACTTTACATTAGTAAATCAACATAAAAAAACTCATTTCAAGTCCCTGCACCCACCTTATCTTTGTTTTCATATCACAATTACCATTATAATAATAATTTTTCTGATAAAAAATTGTCTTTCACATTTTATTTAATCTTTTTAAAACTTAAAATACACAATGAGGATAACTAACCCCCTCAAGAAAACTAGGGGTCGTAGAAATTGTTTCGAACAAACCTCTGACCTATTAGAGAAGAGAAACTTCCTTTCCTTTTGCAATCATTTCCCCAAAATGGTTGAAAAGATTGATTAGGAAATAAACAAGACCTATGATGCTATACTTGGTACATATGCACAAAATCACATTGTATGCATGTCTAGCCATGTGAACTTGCAAGTTGTAAATAGATGTCAAAGTAAGCCAATCTGACTCACCATGAATTGGTGCTTTCAACGTGTCAACCCAACCTCACTCACTTTTTGGCGAGCTAGGAAAACCCCAATCCAGCTTGACCCACCATGGGTTGGATTGGTGGGATACGTAAGTTGGTTCACCAATTTTTTTAAAAATTAAAAAACAAAAAATAATTACATGTTCCTGTTTTTGATAAATAAAATAGTTCAAAATATCAATCAAAATTTCAAAATGACAACTACAACATAAGCATATATTTTTATTATTATTTTAATCTTAGTGGGTTAAACAATTCAACCCGACTCACTTTTGTTCAAACCTGTTTGGCTCACAGCTTAAATGAGCCAGGTTGGAATTCAGCCAAAATCCGTACAATTTTTTTTCTAACCCAACCCAGCTCGGACTTGTGGAGAGCCAAGTTGACCCATTGGATTGGGCTCACTTTGGTACCTCTAGTTGCAAAACCACAGTGGCATAAAGCTCCTACAATCTAGTTCCATATAATAGAACTAACCACTAAGATTGAGTTGGGTAATGCAATGTTTTAAAGCATGATATAATTAAGATAATTTTGAGAGAATGATTGGCAAGCACTGATCAAAGCATAACATAACATAGGCACTGTGAGCATTGTACATTTTATGAACTAATGTTTATTTGCAAACACATCCTGAGTCGTCAGAATAAGAATAGAAACAAAAAGAAATTTTCTTGGTGGGTTGTTTCATATAATATACTATTATTCTACCACATCATAATTAGTTCTTAGGGCATATTAGGCACTGAAGGAAGTATAATTATAATAAGCTGTCCCACTGTTTTGTTTTTTATCTGAGAAATTTAATTTATCATTCAAATCAAGATTGCAAGCTCTATCTTTCTGAACTTTAACAATGAAATGATTGCCAGTAAACCTATAAAGCATAGATGTTTCAAGGAAGGAGCCACATATGTATCAGACTTAACAAGATAAATGCCTACACACTATATTTTGCTGTGTTTCTTAATGCATAGCTGTATTATGTCCTGTGTACTTAATCAAAGCACAAAAACAGTAGATTTATATTGAAAGTATATAACTCTGAAATCTGAAACACAGCAAGAAAATCATGTTTTATTCACGTAGGTGGTCTAAATTTTTCACTTCTAAACACATGGAGATGATGCTCAATGATCTATATAGCAATTCTATATTGTTTAAAAAAAAAAGATCAAGCAATAGCAGTTTATCTGTTATTGCATTGCCCTACAGCCGCTTGGATAGTTGGATCTAAAGTAGTTTACTTAGTGGTTCGAGCCATTGGGAAATCCTGGGAGTAATCTCTCAACTTAGAGCTACTCCATTCAAGTTTCAAGGAATTATGTATAACTAATTAAGAAAAAAGAAAAACTTTAAGCTATCTGCTAGCTATTATGGTTTGTATTTAGATTTACCATAAAATAATGATCATATCTTTAAAAATTCTTCTCAGACCTCACATCTCACATGGCAGGATTCCTTTTCTGGCCTACTTTAGGTGTTTGGCCAAAGGAACTGTTAGCATGCTAACACATATACAGAGGGTTTAACAAGTTTTATTGTCTAGATCTCCTTGATTGTCTTTTATATGTTTCTTTCTTATTCCTTGTTTTACGAGGATATCTTATCTGTGGCTTTTCTTCATAATGGTTCCTTCTTCCCCATTCATCTTTTACAAGACAAAGGATATTTCTACTTTCAGCAGGGGAGAAAAGCAGTACCAATATGGAATGGAATTATTTGATGAATTTAATTAGAGTACAATGACAATATAAAGGATTTTTACACAATCATCCAATCATAGATTGCCATGTATGGTAAAAATTTAAGATTGTTTGACTTTTGCAATGATTACTTTAAAAGACATTTCTAGGGTGATTTCTAATTGATAGATAGTGTAAAAATCTTTACGATGACAATAGATGAAAATTAATCTCTTGTCTAATAAAACTTTGAACATTGTCATCAAGCTTCACTAACTATACTTCCCAAGTCTGTCTCTGCTTCTATTACATGGTGCTGTATCCCACAAATGGCTTAGCAAGTTAATATGATTAGACAAAGGTTCAGTTGTGCCAACACTATTTTCCTATCATCGAAACTCGATACACAAGTTCCTTCTGCACAGAACTTCAAGAAGAAACCACAGCAGACAATTCAAGCAATAAATAATTGGCACATAAGGAGGGTTTTCAAGAGGACGCAAGTATATAAAATTACCTGAATAATGCCCTTTACTCTCCACACCCCATGTTTGAGAACAACAATCTGGGGGTCATCCGGGTGTAATTCCTTAAGCTCCCGCCTAACAGCCTCAATATTCGCATTGTGCTCCGTCGACAGCTGAATCGCAGCCACCCCACCGGTGTTGCCAACTCTCCTACCTAACACGGCACGGGAATCTCCGAGATTCGCTACAAAGAGCGTCTGCCGACAAATAACTCCAACCAAACAACACGTCCCGGTAGTGGCAATCTGCGGCCGAGTGCTCCACAGCTCAGAAACAAGCGCCGTGAACCCTTCCTCAGTCCGCTGGAACGCCTGTTGAATGTCCTCAGCCGTCACAACACTGCGTGACTCAGCCAACAATACCGCTGCAGCACAAACACACAGACAAATACCAACTCTAAGACAACGACGACAACAACAACCACAACAATATAACAAGCTGACAAGCGCTCCTAAACACTAAACACTAAACACAACCATTGATAATAATTATTATTATTATAAAATATGAAAGAGTCCGATAGAGACGCATGTTGAAACTGTTGATGGTTCCTGTGAAAAGCGCAACTACTTTTAGGCGGAAAAGGAAAAATCACGAAAAGCGAAGATACGAAAATCAGTGGTAACTAAAAGCAGTTGGAAGTCACGATCGGGAATTGGAGTATATAAAAGGAAAGAGAGTGAGGGATTGAACCTTGGAGATTACGGAACAAGTTATCGCAAACGTAGCGGGAGCAATCGGGGCCGCCGTGGCCGTCGTAGACGCCGAGGAAGGTGCCGAAGGTGCCGGAGTGGATCTGGCACTGGTCCTCGAGGACCTGGTTGGCCTGGACGACGGCCATGGAGAAATCGCCGGCGGAGAGTTTTCCGATGTCGCGGAAGCAGAGGAGGCCGTCTTTGCATTCTCGTCCGGCATTGGCGGCGGAGGCGTCGTCAGCGGCGAGCCCGAACGGCTTCCAACAGTGCGCGATAAGACTCATGAATGGCTGGTGCATCCAACATCTCTCAGAAACCCTAACCCTAGGCCCCCAGCGCCGGAACCTTTCCCAATGGGGGCGCCACGAGGAATCTGAAAAGAGAGAGGGTGCGCAGGATAATGAGCGGGGGTGCGCAGGTTAGCGCGGGTGGAAAGCGCGTGTTCGGTGGTAGAGGAACAGGAATGGGCTCCTTCCTTCCTTCTCCCCCTTCTTGCTATCTATGCTTCCGTGCTTTTCTTTTCCATCTCTTTTTTATTTTTCATTTTTTCATCAACTTTTTTTCCGCTTTCCTCTTCCATATTCTTTTTAATAATCTCTCTTTTTATGTCTATTTCATTTTTTTAATAAATAAAGTTTTTTTTCTTCTCACCAAATCGATTTTTATAATATTAAAATAATACTTTTTTTCATTATTCTATACTCAATTTAAAAATTAAACATCTATTTTAATCAAAAAACTAATCAACTTTTATTATCTATTTTCCTTGAAATAATATATTTCTTATCAAATTTTTTCTTCAAATTTGTTCCCTATTTTCTTAAATTTTTCAGCAATTTTATACTATATTTTTCTGAGTTTTAGAGAATATTGTCATCCTACTAAAAAAACAATATTCTCATATGTAAGATGTTTATTAGGAATAAAAAATTTCATCTTAAAAATCATTATTATAATGAATAATTAAAATTTATTTAGTTAATTATAAATATATTTTTTTAAGATATTTATGAATATTACTTAAAAGTTAAGAATTTTTATTATATTATTTAAATGAAGAAAAATAATGTAACACTTTTATCGCTTAACTTGAAAATGTTAATTTCTTACTATTTCATTAATATTAGAGTTTATTTTTGTTTATATTTTTATCAATCAATATTGATGTATAATTTATCAATATTTTATTTTTTAATTATTAAATATTTAAAATTATTTTTAAATTTTTAAATATTATTTATTGTTAATTTTTTTAAATTATTAAATTTAACAAATGTTTACTTTAATAAAATTTAGTATTGAAATGTCAATTTTTTAAAACATATATCAAAAATATATTTTGACGATTGTTTCGATTAATGAATATGATAAGTTTAAACATGTTTAAATTTAGTAGTATGAATGGAAAAATATAAATGTATAGAAAATTATTTGTAGATAAATGTTAATTAAGAGAACATAAAATCAAAATCAATTGTTTATTAAATGATTGAAAAATTTATTAATTTTATTTTCTTTATTCAAATCTTGTTATTTATGTTATTTTTTTATTAATTGTATTTTTTAAAAAAAGTTCATATTATGTTTTCAAACCTAAAAAATTCTTTTAAATATCATAAATTAATAAATTCATTAAAATTTATATGGCAAAATCTTGATGAAATTTATATATATTCAAAAATTAAGATAAATAAGTTAATTTTGATATATAAAAATATTTAATATTTTTATTTTTATTTTCTTCTGTAGTCATGAAAATAAAATGTTCAATCAAAGCCGTCTCGCAATTATTTTGAATTTATGATCTAGCGTGTAGTTTATTTATTATGCAAATTGATATACATTTAATGGAAATCATAGTTCAATTGCATGGATATATAGCCTTATTCAAATTCGTTGCTGTTAAAAGAAAGAGGTTTTAATTGGTGGGAAAAATATTACCATTTCACCCTTTAATATGAAAATCCTACAACCTAATAGTGGTTTATCATATAATGTAAGTGCATTGCACTGCCTTATTTTTCTTTTTTTAACCTATAACATTAATAGTTTGAATTTTTTTCACCGTCATATTTTATTTTTATTTTTATGAATTGCTCTCACAGAAACTAAAATTGATATTAGTTAAAGAAAGGGAAAAGGAAACTAATCCCATCCCATATCTTGTCCTCTTTCAAATAATGTTCAACGATTCTTTATTGAAAACACACAATTAGAATACCATAAAAATATTATTTATATATTAATTATATTACTTACATAATTGATTGTCGAGAATATCAATATGTTTGAATACAAATTTAAAAATATTTTTTAAATTTTATTTATTAAAAAATATTCTTTATTTTAATAAAAAAAAATTCTAATTTATATTCAAATAAACTCTGTATAAACTTTAAAAAGTAATTTAAAACTTTGAATTTTGAAACCATTATATTCCAAAAGTGGATTATTATCTCATATATAAATTAAATCATTATTATTTATTTTTATTTCTTTTTTTTCTTTCTATCAATGGCACAAAATTAATTATTATATTTTATCATGTCAATATCGTTATCTATTTTAAGTTATAATAAATATCTTTATTCTAAAGTGGATGAATGAAGATGATTGTGGTAAATGTTCATAATTATGGTAGAGGGATTTAAAGAAGGTTTGTGAGGGGATAGTCAGATAAAGTGACTTGATAATATGGTGTTGAGTGTTGGAAGGAGAGATAATACAAAATTTTGGAAGGATAGGTGAATAGGAGAAGAGTATTTAGCAAATTTTTATGCTAAATTGTTTGTGAATTTCAAACAAAAAGAATTAATGCAATATTACTAATATGAATTTTTTGTTGGGTGATGAGTGGAAGTTGGAGTTGAAGTGGAGAAGAGAGTGATTTGGTTGGAAAGAGGAACAAGTGCTAAGTTTGGAACAACAATTAGTACACGAGCATTCGAATAAGCTAGAAAGCAACAAGTGGAGTTGGCCATATGATAATAACAACTCTTACTTTGTTAATTCAACATATAAGTTGATTAGTGAACTTTGTGAAAGTCATCATCTTTAAGAGGTGTGTGCAGTTTTATAGAAATTAAAGATTCCTATTAAGATTGTAATAACGATATGGAGATGCTTCTTTAACAGGCTTCCATCACACAACAATTCGAGGAAGAGGAATATTGATATTCTAAATAATGACTTTTCTTGCTCATTTTGTAATCTCCAGGAGGAAATAATTTCACATGTTGCTAAACTGCAAGCACATTATGAATGGGTAGATGTGGTGGTACAATTTGGAGGTGGTACGGATTATTCTTCCTAGCTTGTCTGTAGAACATTTTTGACAACATACTTTATTTTTAGGATCATGTAAAAAAATGAAGGTTACGCAAATTATTTGGTATGCTATTATATATAATATTTCGGGTTACAAAAAATTGTGTATGTTTGAAGGGAATAGGTTTGATAAGAATACCATCAAGCAAATTGTCATGTTCCCTCCATGAGTTTAGAGTAAGGCAGCTATACCAAACTTTGATTTATTCTTTCTCTCAATTGCCAATGGACCCAATCAATTACTTAGTTCATTGTTGCTAGAAACGAATGAATGTTGATATTATAGTTGCTTAGTGGACTACAACGGATGAAATTGGAATCAACATTTGTCTAAGGGATCAAATTTGTATCCATGTTTTGGTTATGAAGAGTAATTATGTATAGGTGGGGTAAGTGGTGAAACTAATTAAGTACAATATTATGTTGGATCAGGGATGCCCAGTAGAGAGTGAAAAGGTAAATGAAAAAAAAAAGGGTGGCATTTAATGTTTTTTTGGTGTGACCATCTGCAGATTAATTTCAATAACCATTGATCACTGTCACATGCACACAATGATCTATTCGTTTGTGCAAAATTCTTTTCACTAATGTTTGTTGCATATGAGGCTAGAGGGTGTATGACTTGGGTGGAATTTGTACGAAACTTTTTGATGGATTTGGTTTTTGATCATTTACTTAGCAATATATTTGGTAGGTGTAAAATAATCACATTAACTTAGAAAAATGCTTGCGTTTCATTCTTTGGTATTGATTGTAAATGAGTTAGTACCCGTTGTACTTAAATTATATCATATTATATTATATATAATTTGGCTGTTAAAAAAAATGGATATCTTTACTTCTTACCTTTTATTTGGGAAAGATAATATAACAATTCACAATTTCCAATTGCACTGGAAGGGTCCTATCGACCACATGGATCGGCCACGTGGACCAGCACGTCATGTCCAATCACACATTAACGCAGCTCAGACACCATCTCGGCTCGGTAAGGGGCTGAGACACCATTATCGGTAAGGGGCCGAGACACCATTATCAACTCGGCCATAGGTCGAAAGGTCCTCTCGGCCGACCCTATCGGCTCGGCCAAGGACCAACAAAATACTTATAACGATAATCATGATTAACAAGGCACAACACGTAATTAAAGCATAACCAGCCGATTAGCATCCTATTACCTAATTTGATAAGTGTCAGAGAAGGCCCACCGTGCTCAGGCCCATGACAGATACTATAAATAAGTCACACGAAACGAGGTATGTCACTGTTCATTTTTATTACCCTAGAGAATCGTGCTTGTCCTGACTTGAGCGTCGGAGTGCCTTTTGCAGGTACCTCCCCCTCTGAAGTATCAACCTGAAGCTCTCGTTCGACCCTCCAGTCATCAGAAGATTACGTGTGCCCTCAGATAGGTACATTTTGGCGCCCACCGTGGGGCCGAACCGATAGCTTTTGAAGAAGACGGACATTACTATTTTGAAGGGATACATTATGGCAAAGACAAGGAGAACACACACTGAAGACCACCAATGCGAAGATGAGCACCAATCCGAAGCAGACAATGTCGAGACGGTTGACGATACCAACATGGCCGAGATGGTGTCTGAGTTGCGTCAATGTGTGATTGGACATGACGTGCCGGTCCACTCCCACGGGCATCACACTTCTCTCCCTCACACCTCTGTAGTCGCCCCGGGAAACCATGCTTCGACTGCCCAAGTAACCGGCCGACCCGCGTACGCTCCACCAACTGGAGCACACCGACACCCTTTCACCCCAAATATCATGCAATCCTCCCTCCTTGACCACTGGAAGTCCCTCCCGTTAGACAGGTATGACGGAACCACCAACCCCGACGAGCACGTCGACATTTTTCTTACCCAGGTCACTCTCAGCACCACTGACGACGCCGCCCTATGTCGCATCTTTCCAACATCTTTGAAGGGAAGAGCATTGAGTTGGTTCACTCGTCTCCCGGCCAACTCGATCGACTCTTTTAACACCCTAGCATCCCAGTTCACCATCCAATTTGCCACCAGCCGGCCTCACCAACTAACCTCCCTCGCGTTGGTGAGCATAAGACAAGAGAAGAAGGAATCCCTTCAGACCTTCATGAGCCGATTTAACAAAACGGCTCTAGAAATCCGAGACCTGAATCCGGCTGTCGCTCTTCATCATCTGACTACAGCTCTGAAGTCGGGACCGTTTGCTAACAGCATCTACAAAAAACCCCGTCTGACATGGATGATCTAAGATGCCGCGCCGAAAAATATATGCAGATGGAGGAGCTTGCAGAATTTTGCAATCAGGCCAGGGCAGAAGTAGCGGCCAAAGTCGAAAAGCCGACCGAAAGCTCTTACCGAAGCCGCCCCAAGGACCTCGTCCCAAGAGACAAACCTATTCGCGGACCGAGGTACTTTCATTACACTCCGCTAAATACAAGCCGATCGACTGTATTGGATCAAGCACTTGCTTTGGAGGTCCTGGCAGTACCAAAACAAGCCTCGACCCCTCCACGCGCCGACACAAGCAAGTCCTGTAAATATCATCGTAACCGAGGTCACTCGACCGAAGAATGCGCAGCTCTAAAAGACAAGATTGAGGACTTAATCAAGTAAGGGCAGCTCCAACGTTTTGTCGACCGACCTCGTTCTCCCCGATACGATGATCGTCGGCACCGTCGAGATCAGCCTGACCGAGACAGATCCGACAGGTGCCCCTACCGGGAACGAAGCCGGTCGAGGGGCCGAAAGGATGACGAGCCGACAACCCAACCCCGAAGGGTCATTAATACTATCGCCGGTGGATTCGCAGGCGAAGGTTCCACCTTCTCAGCACAGCAAAGACATCTGTGAGCTGTCCGAACTGTCCACGCGGTTGAACGCACCCGACAGAGGTTGCCGGCAGTGACGAATCCAAAAAATTTAAGTCATGGGGGCAATATTTAAAGACATAAATTTGTCAAAATATAAAATAAAATTTCTATAAAACAAATACATATCATAATTATTCTCTACAAGTTTTCATAGTTTAAAAAATATTGAATGATTTGCTCATTTTCAATACTATCAAAAACCTCTCTCTGTATAAGTAATTAAACAATTATTTAACCATTCGTCTCCCATACGATTTCGCATCCGATTCTTGATGATATTCATAGTAGAAAAAATTCTTTCAACTGATGCAATTGCCACTGATAGTATCAAGGTTAGCTCTAAAAGCAAATATACCAATGGATATACAACATGTTTTCTTGTCTCCAAACTTCATAAAAAATCACCAATCCCTTCTATTTATGAAAAACACTGTTAAAATATATATCTATGAAATAATTTCCAAGTTCGTTATCTAATGCCAAAAGTTCAACTGAAGAAAATTCAGAAGAATAAAATTGAGCAAAATGAATCAACTTATCCTTGTCAAATGTAGAAAATGAATCTCTTGGATTTAAACATGTTACACAAAGAAGTAACTCAGTATTTATTTATGTGAAATGGTTGTTTAACTATTGAAGTTGTTGATCAATCACTTGAAAAAATAATTTAACTTGAAAACATAATTTTAATTAATGTAATGTTCATAACATATAATGTTTCTTCTAAACATAAAAATAGAATGAGTAAATAAAAATTAAAATACTGAATTTCTCATTGAAAATAAAAAAATAATTCAAAAAAAGTAATATAAAAATAATAACTTTAAATACACTAACCTCAAAGATTACTTTAACTATTGAAACATGAAAGAGTAGAAATGGAAGAAGTTTTTTTTTTTTTTTTCCCAATTTCACTCTACACTTTAAAATATGTTAGAAGTTCTTAAAACATGAATAGAATTGGAAAAAGAAAAAAGAAAATAAAAAAAGATATAAAATATCCAAAAAGAGGTTAATAACAATTTATTATTATTTTTACTTAAAATACATATATTACTAATTTATAATTTTTTTATCTTGATTTACAATTTATATGCATAATAATTTTTTTTTCTTCTAAAACACGTAATTTGTTGTTAATTTTTATAACATATTAAAATATTTTTTAAAAATATTTCTTTTCAAACAAAAATAATTATAATAAAACTCAAATTCAGTTATAATTTTTTTTAATTTTTTTAAATTTTTTGTTTCTATTTTTAAATTTTAAATAAAAATAATATAATATCATATATATTAAAAAGCAAAAAACTGAAAAGTTAGTAGGGGCAACTGCCCCCACATTCGTATACCTGCATCCGTCGTTGGTTGCCGGCCATCACGTTCACCGAGGCCGACTTCAAGGGCATTGATCGTGACCAGGATGTCCCCATGGTTATCAGTCTGGAAATTCGCAACTGCATTGTTCGGAAGACATTGGTCGATCAGGGCAGTTCGATCGACATCTTCTATTGGAACACGTTCAAACAGCTCGGTATCCCAGAGGTCGACTTAACTCCATACAACGAACCCTTAGTCGGATTCTTCGATGAGTGTGTCCAAACCAGAGGATACATCAAGTTATCCACTCGATTATGCTATGACGGAGCCGAAACTCGGGACATCCCGGTCAAATACGTGGTTGTGCACGCCAACATGTCATACAACATTCTTCTCGGACGACCCTCTCTCAACAAGCTAGGTGCTATTGTGTCGACACCACACTTAGCCATGAAGTTCCCATCGGAATCCGGCCGGATCATCACGGTCCACGCCGATCAGAAAGCAGCCAAGGAGTGTTATTTTGCTAGTCTTCAGCTACCCCGTCTTGAAATGACCGAGCCGCGTGGAGTGAAACATGTACACATGGTAGCACAAGACTTTGAAACGATTGTGGACCTCGACCCTCGAATGGAGCAAGATGAGAGGGTCGAGCCGATTGAAGACCGACAACCAATTGTTTTCGGGCCAATCGATCTACACGTGGCCTACCTGGGCTCTAACCTGTCCGAAACAGAAAAGCACGAAATCGGACAAGTCGTTAGGAAAAACAAAGACCTCTTCGCGTAGCAGCTGGCCGATATGCCAGGTATCGACCCCAACTTTTTGTGCCACAAACTCTCAGTGTGCCGAGAGGCGAAGCCGGTCGCCCAACGAAAAGGAAAAATGGGAGAAGAAAGAAAAAAGGCAGTTGAAGCAGAGGTATCCAAGCTCTTGGAAGCGGGTTTCATTCGAGAAATCCAGTACACAACCTGGTTAGCCAACGTTGTCATGGTCAAAAAGTCAAATGGCAAGTGGCAAATGTGCACCGATTACACAAACTTGAACAAGGCATGTCCGAAGGATGCCTACCCGTTGTCGAACATAGACCGATTGGTTGATGGCGCGGCCGACCATAAGTTCTTGACCTTTCTCAATGCGTACTCAGGTTATAATCAAATCTGTATGCACCCCCGAGACGAGGACAAAACGACATTCGTCACGGAATCTGCCAACTACTGCTACCAAGTGATGCCTTTCGGCCTGAAGAATGTCGGGGCCACATACCAACGGCTCATGGACAAGATCTTTGATGACCAGATTAGAAAGAACATGGAGGTTTATGTAGATGATATGGTAGTCAAATCGGTCGACACACTTTCCCACGTAGCCGACCTGGCTGAAGTTTTCAATGCACTCCGGAGACACCAGATGAGACTTAATCCTAACAAATGTGTGTTCGGCGTCTCGGGTGGCAAGTTCTTGGGTTTCATGCTATCAAGCTGGGGCATCGAGGCTAACCCAGACAAGTGTCGAGCCATTATTGATATGAGAAGCCCATCAAACCTGAAAGAGGTCCAAAAGTTAGCGGGCTGACTGACAGCGTTATCACGTTTCCTACCATGTATGGCCGAGACCTCCAAGCCGATACTTGGCCTCTTGAAAAAAGCAAATCGGTTTCAATGGATAGAGGAGTGCGAAATAACTTTTCAGCTATTTAAGAAACGGCTCGGTACCCCACCTGTACTGACCAAGCTGACCCCTGACCGAGAAGCAATACTGTATTTGGCAGTTTCGGGCGAGGCCATAAGCGCTAGCATGATACAAGAACAAGACGGCCAACAACAACCGGTGTACTTCATCAGCCGAGTGCTTCAAGATGCCGAACGCCGATACCAAATGTTGGAAAAGGTAGCGTTGGGACTTATATATGCAGCTAGGCGCCTTCGGCAATACTTCCAGAGCCACACAGTGGTGGTCCGAACCGATTGTCCGATCGCCAAAGTGCTATGAAAACCAGAACTAGTCGGTCGAATGATGGCATGGTCAATCGAGCTATCCGAGTTTGACATCCGTTTTGAACCTCGGGGGGCCATCAAAGCACAAAGCCTAGCCGGCTTCATCAACGAATTATCACCACTCATCCACTTTGAAGACAACACTTGGACAATGCGGGTAGATGGCTCCTCCAATGGCCAGGGTAGCGGTGCCAACATCATCTTGGAAAGCCCGTCTGGCATCACCTTGGAACAATCACTGCGTTTCGGCTTCCGAGCATTGAATAACCAAGCCGAGTACGAAGCTTTATTGGCCGGAATGCGCTTGGCAGCCGAAATGGGGGCTAGAAAAGTCACATGTTGGACCGAGTCGAAGGTTGTCACCGAGCAAGTAAATGACAACTTTCAAGTGAAAGATCCTAATCTGCTCAAGTACTACCACCTTTTTTGGGGAATGAGCAATCAGTTCGAGGAGATACAAGTTAGGCACACGCCGCGCGGGAATAATGAGAGAGCCGACCAGTTAGCAAGGCTAGCAAGTAGTCGCAAGCCGGGACAACTTCGGTCAACAATACACTTGGAGTTGCCCACCCCAAGCGTTGCACAAGTATGTATGCCGGTAGATGAAGTGCCACAAACATGGATGACCGATATCTCGAATTTCATTATTAACAGGTCGGAACCGACCGATCCGATCGAAGCTAAGAAGATCCGAACCCAAGCGGCACGCTACTCCATGGTGGCCGGAGAGTTATACCGGCGAGGGTTCTCCACACCCTTGTTGAAATGCATCGACCAGCAGCAAGCCGACTATGTCATACGAGAAATTCACGAGGGAATCTGCGGATCCAACTCAGGTGGAAGAACACTAGCTGCTAAAGTGCTGAGGGCCGGCTATTATTGGCCGACCCTGAAAACCGATTGTGCCGAGTATGTGAAAAAATGCAAGCAATGCCAACAACACGGCAACCTAATACATGCCTCGGCCGAGCAGCTTCATGCGGTCAGTGCCCCTTGGCCGTTTGCTCTATGGGGTATCGACATTCTCAACCCATTCCCACTCGCCAAAGGCCAATGCAAATTCTTGGTAGTAGCTGTGGACTATTTTACCAAGTGGATAGAAGTCGAACTGCTTGCAACTATAACGGCCGCCAATGTCCAGAAATTCGTATGGAAAAATATCATCACCTGGTTCGGCATCCCATACGCAATCATCTTCGACAATGGGCTTCAATTTATAGATAAGAAATTCAACAACTTCCTCAAAAACCTCAGCATTCGACACCGGTTCACGTTTGTCGAACACCCACAGTCCAATGGTCAGGCCGAAGCCGCTAACAAGGTTGTCCTAATCGAGTTGAAGAAACGGCTCGGCACGGCCAAAGGAGCCTGGGCCGAAGAGCTCCCCGAAGTTCTCTGGGCAGACAGATGCATGCCCCAATCAAGCACGAGAGACCCCGTTTCGATTGGCATACGCCACATATGCTATGATACCGGTCGAAGTGGGCGAACCTTCATTCCGACGGAAGCACTTCCACGAAGAGTTTAACGATGGCGCGATCCGAGCCGAGCTGGACGTCTTAGATGAAGTCTGAGAGAAAGCACAAATCGTAGCCGAGGCGTGTAAATAGAGAATGACTCGGCGAGCCAACTCCAAGTTGAAGCCGAGGAACTTCCTAGAAGGTGATCTCGTTTTGAGAGCAACTGGTTCGGCGCGACGCAACCCAATTGAAGGAAAGTTGGCAGCAAATTGGGACGGCCCATTCCGGGTCCGACACGCTCTCAATAATGGCGCGTACAAATTAGAAGAATTGTCCGGCAAGATCATCCCTCGGACATGGAATTCCACCCATTTGAAGACTTATTATAATTAAAATTTGATTCATGTACGCGTGTAAATGTCTTACGATGCACTCTTTTCCTTGAACCGGTCTTTTTCCCTCTTAAAAAATTGTGAAAAGAGGTTTTGGCCGGCAAGGTTTTTAATGAGGCATCCACAAATTAATGGCAATATAGTTCATCTATATATGACTCAATTTTACATTTTCGCAAAATTTTTTAAGTCTTCCCTCCCGAGAACCCTCTCGACCAAGGATGTGGCTTTATTCTACAAGTCTTCCCTCCCGAGAACCCTCTCGGCCAAGGATGTGGCTTTAATCTACAAGTCTTCCCTCCCGAGAACCCTCTCGGCCAAGGATGTGGCTTTAATCTACAAGTCTTCCCTACCGAGATCTCTCTCGGCCAAGGATGTGGCTTTATATTTCAAGTCTTCCCTCCCGAGATCCCTCTCGGCCAAGGATGTGGCTTATGTTAAATTTTACAAGTCTTCCCTCCCGAGAACCCTCTCGGCCAAGGATGTGGCTTTAATCTACAAGTCTTCCCTCCCGAGATCTTTCTCGGCCAGGGATGTGGCTTTATATTTCAAGTCTTCCCTCCCGAGATCCCTCTCGGCCAAGGATGTGGCTTACGTTAAATTTTACAAGTCTTCCCTCCCGAGATCTCTCTCGGCCAAGGATGCGACTTACGTTCAATTATTAAGTCTCCCCTCCCGAGAGTCCTCTCGGCTAAGGACGTGGCTTTAAGTAAATTATTTAGTTTTCCCCCGATTTGGTTCATTACATTAATGTTAAATTTGCAGTACACAACATTTGACAAGAACAAAAACAAGTTGAATTGCAAAGAGGGCGCTACCGGCCCAAATTTACATGAAAATTAAAGGGCTCTATCGGCCCCGACATACAAATCTAACAAAGAAAAAGAAATAACCCTACGACTCGGCCTCGGGCTCCCCTTGAGTCGGCGCCTCCTGCTCGACCACTTCCTCATGCACCTGTTCTTCAGCACTCGGTCCAGCTTGGTGGCAAACAGGAGCTTCAGCGTTTGGGTGTTCATTCGGGGGGATTTGGGTCAAATTGACATATTTCCCCGATAGAAATCCATGGCCATATCAAACTGGAAGTTTGAAGGAAGGCTTCCAAAATGTCAAGCCTGTCGTGCCGCTTACGCGAAGCCAGCTTCATGCTGAGAGAGAACTTTGCGTCTAGCCCTCTCTCGATACGCCCCATAAGATTTCTTCTCGGCTTCCAACTCGCCGGCCAGCTTTGTTGATTTCTTGGCCTCAGCCTTCAACGCGTTTTCCAGCCGTTGCACTTGGAGCATCAAGTCATCATTCTGACGACCACGGAGGACCATCTCGGCTTTGAACTTCTTCTCGTTCAACTACGCCTCGGACAGAGCAGCCAAGGCTTCCTGCATGGACTTTTCCGACTCAGCAAGCTGTCAGTGCAGACTCTCAGCCTCGGCACAGACTCTCGGCCTCGGCACTCGGCTACATCATGATGCTTTGAGCCAAAGCCAAGGAACGAGCTTGAAACTCGCATAAAAAGGTCCACTTGTGGGCCGAACTCATATGCCCCAGCATCGCCTGACCTGATTCTGATGTCAGGTCTTTGCTCAGATGCTCCTGAGCACTAACGTTGGAAGCCAAAAAGCTTGGACTCACCAATCCCTGAGGAGCCACCAACACCGGCAACCTCTATTGCTTTTGCTTCCGTGCTTCGGCCTCGGCCCTTGCCTCGTCGGCCTTTCTCTTAACAGCCCTCGCCTTGCGAGCGTCTTGGGCATGCTTATCTTTCTGAGGTTGGGGCCGAGACGTCTCTTGTGCCGTAGTCCGATTCCCCCCATGCCCAGCCAGCGTCGGTGTCGGAGCTCGGCCCCGGATTAAATTGCGGATGTCCAAGTCATCACTCTCGCAGCTCGTCATGATACTTGCACACAAATTAGTCAAAATCAATGACAACGCATGAATTTAAGTATAGGACAGATTCTATACCGATTAAATCATCAAGCGGCTGCGACGACTTCGTCAGCCGAACGAGTTCCCGGCACGGCAATGGCCGAGGTAACTTCTCTAATATTTTCAAGTCGACTTGCTCCTTTGGAGACATTTTAGACTTAGACACCACATCGTACTTCTTGGGCGTCCGAGTCTAATACAGAGGGAACAATGCCTTACCCTCCGCATCGAAGAAGTATTTATTTCCGTTTTCGGGCCGAATCATCACCTTAAAAAACCCTACTTTGAACCCTTTATAGGACGTGGTGAATGGTTGTAACAAGCAATGCTCCGTCCAGAACAAAGATAACCATTTCGCCTTCCTCGTTGGCCGAGAGGCGTAATAATACAAGAACAGGTGGGGCGTCGGCTCGATGCAAAGAGTTATACACAATTGCCGAAATCCTTGCATAGCGGCCCAAGTGTTCGGATGAAGCTGTGTCAGCGCCACATTAAGCAGTCGAAGTACACCCATAAAAACTTGTCAAAAGGAAGAGTCACTCCCAAATCCTGAAACAAGTAATCATACACGAAAAAGAAGTTATATTTGGACCTCTCTCGGCCCAAGAAGACAAAGTCAAAATCCGGCGATCCGTCATTTCTGCACGGCTCGAAGAAAAAACCAGACGGCACCTCATTCTCCGGAAGGGTGACGAAGTTCTCAGCATCGAATAGCAAAGCAATGGCACTCTTGTCGGCATAACGTGAAAAGACGCTACCCACTTCCCCATGCACCCATCTATAATCGGGGACTTGTACGGGGTCGAAGCTGCGAGTAGTCTAGCCAACTCTACGTGTGCTCGGCCGGCCTTCCGACACGACGAGCGAAGAGACTTCCTCCTCCGTGCCCGTCTGTTCAAACTCCTCAACAATCTCAACACTCACTAATTTACCCGATGCCGACGCAGAACCCTCAAGCCGATCCGAAGGCTCACGCGAGCCCTTATCGACAGATCCAGTCCTAACACTCCCAGAAGAGCCAGCTCGTGAAACCCTATCATCCATACCCCTTTCTAAATCAGCCATAGAAACGTACCTTAAAATGAAGTCGGTCTCGGTCGGTAGCTAGTGCTTAAGATCAACTTGTATCGGCTCGGAGCAGATGAAGACAGGAACAAGTGAATGCATCGAATGGGTCCCCACCACCCCTATTTATAGCACTCTTAGGAGCCGTTAACCAACCGTCACACCCCTACGAACCGTTGAATCAGTTTGATCCAACGACTCACAAGCCACAACTTTTCAAATCCCCCATCATTAATGTCCAACGGTTACAAACCCAATGGTATCAACCCTTCACGTTCGCACGTTTAATGCTCAACGGTTATAACTCTTCACGTTCCCACGTTTATTACTCAACGGTTATAACCCTTCACGTTCCCACGATTAATACTTAACGGTTACAATTCCACACTCCAACCTAACCGTCACAACTAAAAAGTTATTTCTACCCTTGGCATCGTTTCACTCCTTAAGGCTGGGGGGCTTGTGTACCGGAAGTGTCCTATCGGCCACGTGGACCGGCATGTCATGTCCAATCACACATTGACGCAGCTCAGACACCATCTCGGCTCGGTAAGGGGTCGAGACACCATTATCGGCTCGGCCATAGGCCGAAAGGTCCTCTCGGTCGACCCTATCGGCTCGGCCAAGGACCAACAGAATACTTATAACGATAATCATGATTAATAAGGGACAACACGTATTTAAAGCATAACCAGCCGATTAGCATCGTATTACCTAATTTGGTAAGTGTTAGAGAAGACCCACCATGCTCAGGCCCATGACATGTACTATAAATAAGTCACACGAAACGAGGTATGTCACTGTTCATTTTTATTACCCTAGAAAATCATGTTTGTCCTGACTTGAGCGTCAGAGTACCTTTTGCAGGTACCTCCCCCCTCTGAAGTATCAACCCGAAGCTCTCGTTCGGCCCTCCAGTCACTAGAAGATTACGTGTGCCCTCAGACAGGTACACCAATAATCACTATCTATGCTACAAATAAATAAAAGTTAATTACCATATATGAATATGATGGGTGAAATTGTTATTAAGTTCGTTTTCTAGCCTAATTAGTGTAAATCAGAGATAATACGTGCATCCGGTATCTTTTAAAAATCAACTTTGAGCTTTCAAAATAGTGTTTTTAGAGATTTTTTTTTGACAAAAGTGTTTTTTTTATTATAAATTTTTAACTTCTTATATAATTTAATCTTTATTTATCATATTTATTTATGAATTATTTTAATATTTTAAAATAAATTTGACAAGAAAGTTTATAAATATTATTTTAATTTTTTTTATCTAATTTAATCTCTATTTAATATATTT